AGGTATACTAGGGAATCTTCTGGAATCCTGCACAGGCATATGGGTCCTGGACAAGGAGTGATTTAGCATCATTCAGTCCCTAGCATGAGCATCAACAATCCAGGACCATGCTCACAAAGGAAGAATGTGCTCTGATGGGAAATGGGGTGCCTCAAAGTATTAAATGCACACCTCCTTCTGCTTTATACCAGCGGGTTCGATGTGGTTATGTACATAAGGAAGATGTGTTTCAAAATAAAGCAATCCTTTGAAAAGCAAAGACAAACCAGCTTAGTTGGAACCGGTGTGCCTGCTGGTATCTCTCTGTGGAGCTAACAGCACAGGGTTTCTCTCTTCATCTGACTCCAGGACAATGGGTAGAGCCTCAGGGACATCCCCATTTCACCAAGGCCATGGCATTGGCATCAAGCAAGCAAACAAACAAACAAAAAACAGGGCAGGTGCTTTGGGAGACTCTATCTCAGTCCTCCCTTCTAGGACATTCCTCTTCTGGGAGAGTTTCCTTCCAGTTAGTAAGGTGTAGGAGGGGGCAGGTGTCCTGAACCCTGCTTGGCTTTTGATCCTCTGAGCAGACATGCCACCAAGGTGCTAGAGTCACTCCTCAAGTCTCTGATGAGACTCTGCCCTAGGACCCTGTCCTCCCCAGTAAACAGCTAGGGACAGCTAGAACACTAGGACTTCTGTGGTAAAAGTCTGACTCATGACCTGCACCCCAAGACTAGAGGTCCTTTCGCTAAAAGGAAAAGCATTTTGATCACAAGGCACCTCTTCTAAAGTTGATGAGAGACATCTGGGAGGAATCTCACTCTCACTGGACCCTCCTCCCCTCTGCCTCCCTTCACCCCATTGGCCTCTGCTCCCTCTAGCTCTAACTCTCTTCCTCCCTTCCTCCTTTTCCACACACTCCCTCCTGGCTCATTGTTCAGTGTCCCTTCCAGCTGGGCTTTGGACTAGGGTCATTTAAGAGGTCATAGTGCCTCTTTTCAGTCCTTGATCCTTGCTGACTTCTCCTGTGGTGACCTAAGTCCTGTCACTTGGCAGTACCAGTGGGAACAATAGTACCAGGTCAGCAAGGATGGAGGCAGGCAGCTGGCTTCAGAGTCAGCCCCAGTTCCTTCTGGGGATACAGAAAAGCCACTCATCCTACTGGAACTTTCTAAAGGGAAGAGAAAATAGCCACTTGGGGAGAATGGGCTGGACACCCCTGCCTCGGTCACTCCAGGTGGAAGGATGAGGTTTTGGGACAGCTTGCAGCTTCTCTCTGATATTGTTCGACATCCCTGTCCCCATGCTGGAGGCCTGTAGGGGAGAGAGCACCCCGGGTTGCTGAGGACACCCAGTTCATTCTGGTAGCTAGATGTCTGGGAGGAGGGCAGAGACAATTTAGCCTCTCTTCATTAGCTGTTTGTCGACCTATCCTAGGAGACAGTTTCCCTATCTCCTGGTGGACCTGAGTAGCCTTGCTCAGAGGAGGAAGACTGGCCTTCCCCCTCCCTCATGGTAGGGAGAAGTGGGGGCTGGGAGGCTGGCTACCTTGCTGTCTTCTCTGCCACAGCTCTCAGGCGGGCATGCCCGGGGAGAAGTAGGTGGCAGAAATCGCATGCATAATCTCAGGAGACGACCACTTTAAATCTTAATTGGTTGCCTTTTAAATATCATTTAAGGGCCGGTTTCTCTGCCTCTCTCTAGTTAAGAAGGTGTCGTGTCAAACTCTATTACCTTGCAGTATGTCTCTCCCTTACGGTTTTTTTTTTTTTTTTTTTTTTTTTTTTGGAAAAGGAGAGAAAAAGAAAAAAAAAAAAAATGGAGCCGTCAGCCGCGTTTGAGGGGGTCGATAAAGCTTTTAGATTTGGAGACGGTTTCCGGAGCCAGTTTCCTGCGGCTACGTGTTGTTAATGGAGCTTAAGGAATTATCTTAGACTGGGCCGGCCGGGAGCCGTATATTTCCCGCGCCTGTTCCCTTGTCGAGTCTGAATATGCTGCTGTCAGACTCGCTTAATGAAAAGTAACGCGCCGCTGATTACAGTTTTATTTGGCTCTATGTAAAGAGCGCCGTTAATTTAGCCTCTCCTCTCGGTGTGTTTGCGCTCGCCACGCCTGAGCGACTGAGCGCGTCCCTGCGCTGCTGCCTCGCGCGGGCGCCCAGGGCAGGCTGACAGCCTCCCGCAGGGGAAGTCGCGGCTAGAAACCCTCCCCCGCTGCGCCCCGCTGGGGGACCCAGACCTTTCGCCTTCCCAGAGTCCTCATCCTGCGCAGGCGCCTCGCTTGGTCTTGGGCATCACTCTGGCTCCTGACTGGCGTCCTTCAGACTGCTCCCCTAAGTCAGAGTTGTCTTTGGGTGTCCCTTATTGCGCAGCGCCCTGGAATGTGGCTGAGCCCCCTCCCCCTGATATCTTTATCCACACTGTAGTAAGTTTATCCAAATAAGCTCCTGTAGTCTCTAGGGTCGCCAAGGTCTGGGGCTCTAGAAACTTGTTATTTGGCCTCCCAGAGCTTGTGCAGGTGCCAGAGACCATGCCTGGAGTTTCCCAGCTCAACAAGCTTGGGCGAGTGCAGAAATCTCCTTCCCTCTGACCGCCACAGAGGAGGAATCTGGGAGCCAAGGCTGGTGTATGGCAGTGAGCACTGATCAGAGCCTAGGGTGTTTGCGCCCAAGGCAAATCTGTCCGCCTCCGGGACACAGGCTTAGGTCCAAGTTTGAATTTCTAACTCCCCTGTTTTTATCTCACCTACTCCTCGCCTGAATCTGTGAAGTCTAATTTTTGCTGAAAATACTTGGCTTTGTCTAGGGCTGTGTGGGGGCGCGCTTGGCGGGCTGCATTAAAATTCCTCGCGCCCTAGCTTGGGCAGCAACGTGTCTCCCCTGAGACTCCACTTTCGCTATTACTGTCAAGTACCCTTGACTCTTTATTTTTGCCCTTTTATCTATTACAACTAATTCGAGTTCTTTTGCCCTTTTCAGTCTAAGACGTGGGCTTTTCGCAAAGCCTCCCCTGCCAGCGCTCTCTCAAAGCGCGGAGCCTTTAGAAATTGAGGGGTTTACTGTCAAAATGAAAATTTCACTTCAAATTATCTTGGCTGATGCTCGCTTGCTAGGCCAGGGGCTCCCGCCGCAGCCTTTTGACAGGCACATCAGCGGCAAGCTTCCGCGTCCCGATAATATCATCCAGGAGAGCGAAAGTCAATGCGGTGACAGCGCAGGCCGGGACAATCCAATTACTGAGTGCTGGCCAGGGCAGGCCTGCGGCTTGTGGGGCAGTTGGCCACTCAGTGTGCAAGGGCCCAGGTCTGGCAACCAAGATTCAAGGTGAGGACCATAACTCAAGGGACACTGTCAGTCCAAGGGGGTCTGGTTCCAGCAAGGGTAAGTTTCTTTCCTTGGGGTCTGTAAACTGTCCCCAAAGCTGGCCCCACAGGCTCATTAGTGTGACTAGGCTCCAGTCTAGTCCCACCCCTAGGATTGCAGAAGAAAACCCTGGCATCTATTAAAGGTCTGGTGTCTATCAAAGGCCCTTCTCTCCGCAATGAAAAGTGGTGCATACACAGTTCTGATCTGTGTGGCTATTAGAATTTATTCTAGTCCCTGCGCCCCTGAATCCCATAGCAGCTTGCCCTGGGTTCCCTGCTTTACAAGCCCTCTGCTTGCGGCTCCCATCTCCCTAGGAACACTGGGGACTTTTATGAAGTCTATAAAGGCCTGAGCAGAGGCTTGCCAGTCAGCAGAGAGCTAGGATTGGATGTTGGGCAGGTGCTTTCCTGGAGATGCAGGGAACCTTGTAAAGATGAGCCACGGAGTACCCGAGTCCACAGTAACTTCCTCTAGTGTCTGTGTTGAGCAGGGTGTGAAGAGTCAAGTCTGCCCTCTACCCAGGCCCTTGTGTTCTCACCCCGCCCCATGTCTCTTTAGCTCTGCTCCTGACTTCTGATACTAAGGTTTCCCCTCTGGAGTCTTCAGAACTTGGGTGAAGCTAAATTTGAAGCAAGTGGGGCTCAGGTTGCATCTCTGAATGGAGATGGGGTCAGCAACTGTTAAAGAGCCTCTTGGTACAGAGAATGATGCCCTCAGGGCAATGTCCCCTTCCCCACAGCAAAACTCCAGGGGATTTAGAAAGCCTAAATATTACTTTAGTCCAGTCAAAGAAACCCTTATTTGCTTAAAATTCTGGCATCTGGCAGTGGGGAAAGTTTAAAGTTTGGGGTCTCACATCCAATTATAACTTCAAAAAGAGTGTCCCTCCTGTGCCTTTAACGTCTCAGAAATGGTTTGCTTAGAGTTGGATTGGCAACTACTTTATTGGGGGTGGAGTCTGGGTCAGCCCACCCATTCTTCCTTTCCCCTCAGTTGGGGAGGGGAGGTCAGAATCACCCTTCAGGCCACACCTGAAGACCCCAGCTGTGAAATGTGTTCCTTCTGCAATGCAAACACCATTATGAGGATTTATTAGTTTTGTTGTATTAGCCTCTCTCTGAAACAGGCAATTACTGGCGTGAATATACATTTTAGAAAACATAATTTTGTTGAGTCAGGAGTGTGCAACAGTGTAAACACGGTGGAAGTGTTGTTGGTGAGCTTTCTGTGCTGAGGGTGATGAAGTCCGAAGAAGAGCAGGTTGAGGAGTCTTTGTAAGCAACACGGGCATGCCTCAAACTCAGAAGGAGACAGCGACACAAAACAAGCCCCAGAACCCAAATGCCTTCTCCATGTAAACTTTGGACGTAAACTTTATTCTTCAGGGGGCCTCCCCTCTGCCTTGAGAGTGCTCTCTTGTCTTCCTGGAGTTCAGGGATGGCGCAGGTGGCCGTAAGATCTGGTGAATCCTGTTGACTGAATGCGAGGGAGTTTTTCCTTTTCCCTTTGGCTGAGTTCAGATCCTCTGCCTCAGATGGGTTGGCGTCGCTGGCTTGGAAATGCCCCTTCCTTTGGACACCCATTAAAAACAGTCCAGAGTCAGCTCCTGCAGCCTGAGCGCCAGTTCCCTTCTTCACTGTGCAGGTGGGTGTTAAGTGCAGAAGGGTTTGCCACCAGCCTTGGGTGTAGCCAGCAGCTCCCGGGCCCCCGAAGGTGGGGCGTCTTGGGGCACCGTGGGCGGGAAGGAGCAGGCCAGGGGCGTAGTCAGTACGTTGGTGCCCGCCCCCAAAGAGCGTCCTAGAGAGCCGGGATCCAGAAGGGCACCCTTAGCTGTGGCCCAGGCCTGGTTCAAAGTGCTATGCCTAAGGATGGGATCGTGAAATACCCCATCCACCCAGTTTCTGAGACTAGTTACTGGGGAGTCCTGGTGCCTCTCCAGGGCTACTGAAGGGGTTGGGACTGCAGGTGAGGAGGCCGGCGGCACCGAGGATGCCCCCGCCGGACCTTGGCGTTTCAGCATGCATGAGGGAAACTCAGTCTGGCTCAGAGCTGTTGCTGCAGTAGCTGTGGCCGTGTGTGCCAAGGACCAGATGCGCGGCTTGGTCTCCAGGCTCGGCGGCGCCCCTGCTGGGGCAAAACTGAGTTTGGCTTCGCAGGCCTGTGGGCCGCCCTCGGCGCCAGAGTCCGGCGCAACCACTGTGCTCCGGAGGCAGCTCCGGCCCCTCTCCAGGTCCTCATCCATGGCAGCTCCACTAGTGGTGCCAAGAGGCATCCGGAGTGTAGCGGAGGCCTCCTTGCCTGGGCCAGGGCCATCAGAGGAGGCAGGGATCCTCTCTGGTCCGCTGTCCAGGGACTGGAAGGGAGTCTTCAGATCGCACTCTGAGGTCTCTGCATCTAGAGGGTCGAAATCTTCCAGGTCACTGAGTTCTAGCTCCTTGTCGTCTTTGCCAACAGGACCTGTCAGGAGACAACACGTGGCCAGTGGAGGGAGACAAGATGGCATAACTAACTTCCTTTTATCCTAAGACCAGAGTTAATGGGACCTCACTCTCAACGAGTTAATAGCCCAGGCCCTTCTCTGTTTTTCTCTTTCCATCACATAGGGACCCCAAATCTTGAACTAGTAACACCAGCTGGGCAGATCTGGACTCGGCAGTGCATGAAATGCTTTTTAACTTGACTTTAAGCATGCTCACATGGTACCACCTCAGTCTCCACTCCCCAGGCACAAGGTCTGACTGGAAACCAGTTCAATCATTTGCTGCCCAGGCCCCAAGGCTTTTCATTTGCCACCCTACAGCTTTTGGAGACTACCCGCCCTAAATATTACAGAATCTCCAACCCACCTTCGCTCTTGGCACTCTTGAGAGGTTCCTCCCGTGATTCCTCCTCGACAGTTTCTTCCTCCTCACCCTCCCCATAGGGCCGCTTCTCATCTGCGCACTTATTTCGAGGTGGCCAGGTCATCTTGTTTTCCTTCTTGAGGCGCCGGCGTGCGTTGGCGAACCAGGTGGATACCTGCGTGAGGGTCATCTTGGTGATGATGGCCAGCATGATCTTCTCTCCCTTGGTGGGGTACGGGTTCTTCCGGTGCTCCTGCAGCCAAGCCTTCAGTGTGCTGGTGGTCTCCCGGGTGGCGTTCTTTCGACGCGTGCCGCTATCCACGGTCCCATACCTGGAGACAGGCTCTGCAATGGGGTGCCAGTCGGGGCCCGGGAGATCACGCGGAGCGAGCAGGCGTAGGGCATAGGGACAGGTTGTGCCTCCCTGGGGTGGGTTGCACTTATGGGCAATGCCTGGCCTTTTGTGGGCCAAGGGCGAAGATAATGTCATTAAAATGACAGGGAGTAGGTCATGGCCTCTGTCACTTTGTAGACACATTTCTTTGATTTCCTCTATGGGGCTTCCCTCTTACTATCATGATCCGAAAACTATAAAAAGGTACGGATCTGTGAACCAGCACCCGGGAACCCCAGAGGGGAGGAGCAACCAGGGAGCCAGGTTCGAGGGCTTTTGGCTGAACTGGTAATGGTAAAGATTCAGTGGTGGTCTGTCCCCAGCCTGGGCACAGAGGGTCAAGGACCCTGTCTTTTGATTCCCACTGTATGGCTGGTGGCCATGGCTCAGACACCTATCTGGGCTGAGTTTCTTGGGGTGCAAGTAGGTGTCTCAGGCCCTTCATGGAAAGTGAACTGAGCTTTCTAGGATCAATTTGCTTGAAAATCACAGCAATGGGAGAATTTCCACATTCCCAATAGTATGAGAAGTGTGGCAGGGTAGGGCTGACCACCTGCCTGAGGAAATTGCCCCCTCTTCTGGTCTCCTCATGGGGGGGCGCACTGGTGGTGGTGATGAAGGGCAGGGTGGTAGCTGGTACTGTAAGGGCAGTGGGGGCGGGAGGTCTGAACCCCTCACCTGTCATATGGGTACTGGCCCAGAGCTGGCTCATAAGGGTAGTAGGCTGCAGCTGCTGTGGGTGCTAGGCCGGCGTGTGAAGATCCGGTGCCATCCTTGGACTCGAAACTGTTCTGTAAAAACCCAGGCGTCTGAGGCCACAGCTTCTGGGGACCCAGCTAGAAACCCTCCATTAAGCCTTCTTAGCTTAGCTGGGATCCCCGAGTCTCCCCCAAACTTCGGCAAGGCCCACAGACTCTAACCCACCTCCTACTGGTTTCACTCAATACTCAGTTCCCCAAATGATGAGACTTTCAAGTGGGGCTGCTGGGCTGGCTTTTGGTAGGGAATCAGGGATAGACCAGGGGGTGAAGATGAAGTGAGAAAGGGAGAGAGGAAGAGAGAGATCTCGAAGAAGCCTGAAGAGGAGAAAGAGGGCGGACTGGTAAGGACTCCAGAGGGGTCACCAGGCCCAGGGATAAAGAACCTGTGGGAAAAAGGCCTTGAGCAAGAGGGAAGAGGCGGAGCGGGGAGGAGCTAGGGTGTGAGGTCTGGAGGGGGCAGGGGAGAAGGAGGGAGGAGAAGGGTGTACTATGGGTGAGAAGGGAGAGGTTGTCTGAAGCTGTGAGGAACCTCTCTGGGGAGCCAGGAACCTAATCAGAATTCAAAGGCAAACTAAACAGCAGCAACATCTTAGGTACCCGGCCTCGCTGGCCGGTCACCCTGAGTCTCAGCCAGGGCAAAAGTGCTCTGAGGCTTCGGGCTGGGAGAGATAGCTCAAGTCCTCCTCCTCTTACCCAAACCTGTAGGGAATCATGGGCACTCGCACCCGGGGCGGAAGTAGACTTGACAAACTGAGGGGGCTGGGCGGGGCGAGGCGCGGTGCAGCGGGAGGGGAATTGTCCCCTTACCAGCGAGTAGAAAGCAGA